GTCACAGCCCCTCGTTTGTTGTCCTCTTCTCTCTCTCTGCCTACGGTTTACCGGGCAGTTCTATTTGTGACGATATATATAGAGAGAGAGAGAGCCCTGCAGCATGCAGCATGTCAGTGGTGGGGAGCACAAGGGCAAGCGCTGACCCCCCCAAAAAAAGAGAAGATAATGTTCTATTGGAATACAAGAGTTTCTTCTTTTCGAAATTTGAATAGAAAGGGTACACGTTGTATTCGAATGCAACAGGTGTGTTTTCTGTTCGAAGTGCTCTTCTATTTGAGAAAAGTGGACACACCGTTGTGATTTCGAAATTTTTAAAACTCACGGACCGCGGCCTCCTCGGCCTCCCATGCAGTTTCGGTTTTGAAATGTCCAACTCAAGGACCACGGCCTCCATGGCCTCTTATGGGCAGCTACCGGTCCTTCGTATGCCCTGTCCCTTGCTAAGCCCTCACCTCAAAATTGCCCACCCTCCCGAATGACCACCGACGTTGAAGGTCTCAAGGGGAGTCAAGGGCATAAAACGCAACCCTGATGGGCTGCAAACTAAAAACTAGGCTGGGCCGCCGCCCGGCCAGGCGGGCCCGGGGGTGTCCGTCCGGGAAATCCGGGCGGCCCGAAAACCCAGCAGGCTGCAAAATGGATTCGCTTTTGTGGAGACAAACACTGTTGTCTTTTGCTCATTTTTCCGGAAGGTCCAGATCTCTGGAAATTTGGGGGGCACTCCCAACTTAACCTCCAGAGTCGTTCGGTGCAAAAAAACTCCGGATTGCCCGGAAGCCAATCGATAATCAGATTATTTGGATACTCCTCTTCCAACCTCCTCTGCGCCGGACTGTGCATTCCTTCTGATAAGTTGTCACATTATCGCTGTATCTAGATTCTAGACTGAATGTTGGCCCAAATACAGCTATAGTGACTGGATATGCTATTCACGTGAAGACGGTCTGGGTGCAAACAGGGGTCCTGAGGTCAATATCCTAGGGGCACGGCATCCAGTTCTCGAGTCCCTGAGAAAGTGAACAGTCCGGCTCTACCGGGTCCAGCGGTCGAAGAGTTAGAGATATCTCCAGTAGTCAACCAGGGCGGCTGATCACACATAAGTCTAGACCCTAAAGGTTTCAAAATTCTTCCCTGACTCATCCAGAACCTGCTGGGTATGGGCACTCTGAGCTCAGAAAAGTGGATTAAGCCCTCTGTCCGCCAGAGGAGGAGGCAAACCAGGCTGCTTAACACGACATATTCTGCCTGCTGCCAGTCTTGGTCATTCATTCTGGCACACACACTCCAAAAAAAAAAAAAAAAAAAAAAAAAAGGTCATTCATTCTGGCGGGATGCATTGTGGGAGCCTCTGGAGCATTGTTCGCTAGTTTCAGCACTGTAGAGAGGAGGAACATCAGAGAGAGAGAGAGAGAGAGAGAGAGAGAGAGAGAGAGAGAGAGAGAGAGAGAGAGAGAGAGAGATGCATTGTGAGGGAGATGCTGTAGCCTGTGGCGGGGGGTAGAGAGTGAAGCTTACCTCGGACTTACCTGCTGGTGGTTGCGATTGAAGGAGGACACATCGCTTTGCTTCAGACGACTGGCATTGCCATATCCAGAGTGATATCGACTTTCGGAGAGACATTATATCTCAGCGAATTGTAGTGAGAGTGGAGGATGTCAGAGTGGAGAGTGGACTGCATCAGTATTACCGTCTTCACCTGAACAGAACGCCCGGTCATTATAGCTGTATTTGATGCAAACTTTCAGTCCATATACGGCCACAATCACCAGGCGTTTCTATTTGGGTGAAGACGGTAGATGATAGGACGGTTACTTGCTGATGGTTGCCCAGTGAGGAAGAAGAGCCCTGCGGATGAAGAGGTAACAGAGGCAAAACATTGTGTCTATCGAGTAGTATTGAGTCTATTGACTCTACTGATTATTTTCTTGAGTTATTGCTCTCTTCCCACTCTTCTTCTTCTTTCTGTCTAGTCGCATGATTACATTGATGTTTTGAGCATTGCCAGTATTTGCATGAGGTAGATAATATGAGCCCTGGGGCGAGGTCCCACTAGCAAAGAGGATTGGATTTAACGCCTGAATCTGAACGTGTTTGTGGAGCGGCGCAGAAAATCGTGATTGATGATTGATCTGCTTTTCTGCATCTCCTGTTCTATGCATAAAACACATCCAGATTCACGCACTTGACCCAATCCTCTTTGCTAATGGGACCTTGCCCCTGCAGTGGACTCCATTACGATACATTTTCGCCAAACTTAAAGAACGTTAGATGATTATAATGTGAAGACCCGACCAAATACGGACTGAGACACACAGCTGATTTCTGAGTTTTGCTCACGGACTGAATGCCTTGCTGAGTTTCCCGCTTGCCACTAAGTTCTGCATGTCTGTGTGTGTGTGCACGCTTGCTGGTCTGCATGTCTGTCTGAGTGCTGGTTGGCTGGAGTGTGTGTGTGACCCGCAAGGGTACTTGTCCGTTTGTTGGGCCCTCAGGGCCCGTACTTACCTGTGGCCGTGACATTGAGGGGTTGCAGCGGGGGAAAAACACTCAAGCAGCAGGTAGGCCGGTACAGCACCCTGAAGAGGTAGATGTGCGGGTACTGGAGGCCGAGCAGAAGAAGACAAAAGTGGCATTTTGAGAGGCCCAGT